GGATGCGGGGCTGGCTCCTGCCGCTGTCCCCTGACTAACGCCAGTCAATGGCCAGCGGGCACATCTCCTGGCTCAAGCAAGGGGAAGGTGGTTCTCTCACCCCCAGACATTCTCTGGGTACAGAACTGGCAAAACGACATCTGGAAAAGCATTGCCAGGGAAGGGGCTGATGTCTAAAGCTTTTCGAGTTGTCGTTTTTAACATCCATCTTCTTCTTTGTTCTTCCAGCATTAAAGATTGGAAAACGAGGCTGAGCTACTTCCTGCAGAACTCTGCCAATTCCACTAAAATGAAATCTAAAAAAGTGGGAAAACACCGCACCTACTTCAGGTAAGTTACAAGAAAGAGACTTTGTTTAAATAACTCGGGTGTTCTGCAAAAACAATAAAGCTTGAGCACTGGACTCTAATGTTCTCCATCTCTTTGTGCAGACCTTCTCCTGAAGAAGCACAGCTGTGGTCAGAAGCCTTTGACGAACTTCTTGCTAATAAATGTAAGTTTGTCTTCAAAAAGTGACATTCAGGAGCAAAGCGATGATGAAGTTTATAAGTCTGGAGGAGATTGCTTCCTTGCATGTCAGCTTGTACCTTTCTAACATAAATAGCTTTGATTCTGGTCTTGAAAATTAAGTGCTTTAAGCTGTTTAAAGTCAAAATTAATTGAAGTGCTCTTTAAAAAAATTGTAAAGTAATATTAAAATATCAAGAATACTTCATTGTAGTGGATTTTTTTTCTGCAACCCTTGTAGTTAAAAACATACCTATCACCTTGGCTTTGCCAAATGTAGCTCTCAAAGGAAAAGCACTCAACAGCAGAGCAAAAAGATTAAGAAATAATATTACCACTTGCTTTTTGAACTTTAAGTCATCCTTTCCATTGCAAAAAATATTCCAGAGGTTTATAGCACAGTCATAAATATTAACTGCAGTGTAGAGGTTAACACAGGAGATCCCATCTAGAGAGAGGGGTCTTTTTAATATGTGCAGGCATTGCAAAGGGGAACATAGCAGCTAGAAATGGCTTTCAATTTTTGTGTTTATCTAAAAAGTTACTAACTCAAAGTGAAGCCTGCCAAGCTGTTAGAGAATTTATTTGTTTGCATAAATAAAATTCCACATAAATGTGGAATATTTTTTTATTGCTATGATATCTCGGAAAGAACCAGACCAGAACTGCAGCAAAATGATTTGGTAGAAACATATGTGACCCCTGGGTAAATTCAAGATTCCCAAAACCGTTAGTTGATGTGTATTTTTTTTTTTTTTTCCCTAGATGGTCTTGCTGCTTTCCGAGCTTTTCTGAAGTCTGAGTTCTGTGAAGAGAACATCGAATTCTGGTTGGCCTGTGAGGACTTCAAGAAAACCAAGTCACCCCACAAGCTGACATCAAAAGCAAAAAAAATCTACAATGACTTCATTGAAAAGGAGGCTCCCAAAGAGGTAAAGAAAACCTATTTAAACATAAGTGCCCTGTTTTAGGAGTTCTTACAGTTTTTATTTCTCTGAACTCACTGTAAGGTACAGATGCCAAACTGCACTGCACATACCTGACTATTAATATCTGTGTCTGAACATAACTCTCTCCCTGACTGCCTTTTCACCAAGCTGGAAAATGGCACAAGCAGTAATTCAGAGACTTTCCATCTTAACTGGGAAAAGTCAATAGCTGCATTTAATGCTTGTAACATCTTTTGAGTTTAGCACTGAAAGCTAATATATCTGAATTACTTGGGGTTTTGTAGAAAAGGATTTTCTTAAAGGAAACTTCATTAATTTGACCCTGTAGTAATAAGGTCTTGCCTTTTTTGCGTCTTCAGAAATTTTATGGTGTATTATACTTACTTCAATTCAGTTCTCAGAACTAAATGTCTTTGTTTTATTTCAGATAAACATAGACTTCCAAACCAAGAACATGATTGCACAGAATATTCAGGAAGCCACACATACCTGCTTCAGTGCAGCACAGAAGAGAGTTTACAGTTTAATGGAGAATAACTCATACCCACGGTTTTTGGAATCTGAGTTCTATCAGGAGTTGTGCAAGAAGACACCCATCACCAGAGCAGCCCAGGGGACATGAGTGATGGAGAAGAGCAAGAAGCAGCCTCTCAGCTTATAAGGAAGCAAGCCACAGCTCATGGCAGCATCCTGACCTGAAAGACTGAGATATGAATGCTCAGTCTGTTTGCCACAGTGCAAGGACAAATACTGACTTTGGTGCAAAACTGATGGCAGTGTGACACTGTTGGAGGGCAATCAGAGGTGGTGGCAGAAGTGTGCCAGGCAGCTGCTGGCAATGTGCTTCTCTGCAAGTGCTGCAGTGCAAGGCGATGCCATCCATTAGCCCAAACCATATGGTGTAATGAGTTCTGTCACAGCTGAGGTGGAGATGCCACAGGTCAGAACAGAGCTTCCTTCTTGGAAACAGAAGCTGCTCTGTGCAGTTGTGCAGTGCTGGCAACTTGAGTAATTCATTGTGTGTTTCTTTTTCCTAAACATCAACCAGTGTTGCTGTCATCAGTCACTTGGTGTGTTCACACTGGTTCTATAAACTGCTTCTGGCAGCAAGGAGATGGGTTGGGTTTCTGTGCAACTTCCCAACAGTAACAGCACTGTGCAGAAGTGAGAAGGGATATAACTCAGTTCCCAGAGGAACTGGTCCTGCAACTAACGTGTGCAGGGCTGGGTTGTGTCAGCAGGGCTGCACAAGGCCAGACTGAGGGCAAGACTTGGCCAAGGTGAACAGGAGCTGTACAGTATTATATTTATATGTGGATTATGATTGTGTTGAATGCTGCAATAATGTCATAATTCTGTCTTGAGGACAGCAAGCTTCAGTGAAGTCTCTTACTGTTTTTAATAAACTATTTTGATACAAATCTGCTTTTGTTGCTTGTTTTGCACACACAGAGATATACTATCTGGTACTAAACTCCAGAGGGCTGGGACTGCATGTCTTGGGTGTGATCTTAATAGGGCTAATATTAAAGCAGTTAGTTCTTAATCTGCCAGGAAAATGTTTTGTTTGGGGTTTGGTTGGTTGTTTTTCTAGTTTGTTTGGTTTTCTTACAGAATTAAAAAAAAAAATACCGAATTTTTTAAAAAGCTTAACAGGGGAGGTATATCCATTACATCCTCTGTCTTAATCACCTCCCTATGAACCCAGTCTCTAAGACAGTGCAAGGCACATGACATATGGCTACACATGACAGATCAACTAGAAAGCAGCAGTGGGACAGTGAAGCAGCCACAAGCAGGTCATTGGATGCTATTTGGAATACAGACACCAGTAGTACAGTTGCTCTTGCAACTCTGCATCAAACAGGGCTTGAGAGAGCTTTAGTGTCAGGCTGTAAAACCCACACAGAGACAGAAGAGGTGGTATTACAGTAAGAGCAGCGTGAGTGCTTCTTAGCACTTATTCCATGTCAGCTTTTCTAACCAACAACATCCAAAACCAGTACTTCCAAAACTCTCCCTCATCTGTCAGTTTTGTGACTTGTCTGAACTCTAGCTCTGCTGAAGTCCTGGCTCCGGCTATTTTTACTCCACTCCTCAGTTTACAGCTTTAATTTCTTAATTCACATTCCACAACAGCCACTATAATGATCCACTTCTCCAAGCATCAAGAAAACTCATAACTACAGGATTTTCCACTTCAACTGCACATCCAAAGATCATTCAAAAGCAACTACTTCATGCATGTACATAGGTACTGGAGGACATATACCAGCATGCACATATAGATACACACAGATATGTATATCTCTTATACCACCCATATACATGCAAAGAAGCAAATATGGTGCAGGCCCCCACTTTGCTTTAGCCCCAGTTCTGGGTCTGTGAGAGCTGGCTCTCATACAGCTAAACTTGCTGATCACTTAAGTCCACATAAAACAAGCACAAGAAAAACTGAGCCCAACAATTTACTGCACCAGTTTTATTTTCCAAGCAGGAAAAACAGATTTGGGCTGATAATTGCTTTTGTAATCTAATTAAATAATTTGAAAAGCATAAAAATAGCCAGAACTATACGTATTAATGACTCAGAGGTAGGGCGGGAATAACTCCATGAAGCTTCATTGGCTTCAGTGAAGCTGCATTAGGCTGTGCCAGTTTGGGATGTGGTAATTAACCACTGCTGGTGTCTGGTTTCAGGGAAAGAAACATTTCTAGTTTCAGCAGGTGCCAGAACTACTTATAGCACAGTATGTAGTTCAAAGGGGAAATTAGGTGGGGCCGTTAGGTAGGACAGCACTGCCTGGGGGCTGCTCTTCTATACTTCTTTTTAAAGATTTGAATCATGAACGTTGTTTTTTAGGAAGTATGTGCAGGCAGCTCTGTAGCTTCCACAGAGCATGCCACCAGGGTAGCAAGCTGACCAAACCCTGCTGAGTCCTGGCATGGTCTGTCTGCACTGTGCAAGAGCCCTGGTTTCAAGGCTCAGCTTTGCAGCAAAACAGTTTGGTGTATCAACAGGGGAAAAAAAAAAAAAAGTTGAAATAAAAATCTTATTTTTAGTAAAATGCAACACATCTGTGCACACAACATTCCTTCCAATTATTGCTTTTCCAGTTTTTGATATGACCCCCGTTTCCCCAGCTCCCAGGGGTAAGCTTTGCCAGAAAAAAGGGCACTACAGGCACATTGGGAGTGCTGCAACCTCGACAGATTGCTATGAAAATTTCCTGGAGAAAGACAAAACCAATGATTGCTGTAAGAGATGCTCCTTCCCTACTGTGGGCAGCCTTACAGCTGCAGTTAAAAATGGCACTCTGGTATCAATGCCAGTTCATGCCCTGCTAGCATAACTGATGTCTGCGTGTAGAGTCAGGGGACATAGAACTGTGGGAAAACATCATCAACAAATTCAGAATAAAGGCAACTTTAAACTGGCCATGTATCACTTTTTAAGCCACAGTCTCACAGTATTTGGTGCTTTTCTGAACTGCTGGAGGCAAGCAATTCCCTTGCTTTCATATCACAAAACCCCACATTTCTCACCTTTATGATTGTGAAGAAAAAATTGAAATTGCAACAGGAGTAACTCTAGCAATTCTCCAAACCAGAACTTAAAGCAAAAGACTATGCAGTCATTTAAAAAAAAAATAAAAAAAATAAAAAATCTAGTTTTCTAAGCTGATCTGATGATTTTGGGAAACTAGATAATGAGTTTTAACTGCCTACATCTGGCAACAGCCTATTTTTTTTTAAGGGCAATCTGATGGAGAGTCCTCCATACTATCAAAAAGGCAACACATAAAGTAATCTCCTAAAAGAGGAAAACAAAGCAGCTGACCCTCAGCAAGTGCCCACTGTCCCAAAGGCTGGAGAAGACCTCAGAGAACAGGGTGAGCTCAACAGTGATGCTGACTCACCACTCCAGTCGAACGGGAAAGCAAAGCCACTCAGTAAACAACAGCCATGCAGAGCTTTTGCTCCATCTATTTATGTATTGTGGCTGAAAAGTGTACCAAGACTATAAATAAAATCTGCATTTCCACTTGAAATTCCAGATTTCCAGTTGGAGAAGGGGACACTAATGACGGTTTAAATGGCTTTATAGGCACGCGTATGCGTGTGGAAGGGTTTCTTGGATGAGACTTCATAACTTGGCAACTAGTGTGGAGCAAAAAAGTGACCTTTAGAAGTAGTTTTAGCATCTTCCTGGATACTTTTTGGGGGTTTTTTGGCAAGTTTGATTTACTGTGATTCCAGCAGGAAAATTGGTCGGAACCTGGGACAGCATCCCAAATTCATCTTCCATCAGGTGACCAAACATTCCCAATGGCTCCTCCTCATCCCACCAGCACAGCAATACTTGGTGTCCATACGGCTCACATGTGCCAGGACCAAACTACTAGGTAAGGCTACTACATCAGCCCAAAGCCCATCCTAGAGACAGGCCAGGAACAGGGCTTGTGACAGACCTACCTGCAATGTAGGGTCCTTGATACATCCAGGAGAGCAAGCTAGGTAGGAAATTGCACCTACAGCACACTTCAGAGGAAACAAATGGCTCTCAAGGCTGAGCTTAAATAGAGCCCTGGCTGATGGGCAGCAGGTGTGGGTGGGGTCCCAGAGGGGGCTGCCCAGGGCAATTAAAGCCATTAGCATCTGCAGGGTCCTGACACAAATATGAAGGAGCTGTTTTCTGAGGGTTACTGGGCTAGCTGTATGGGTCTATCAGCTTATGACCTGAAAGCAGTCTGGATTTTTGAGGAGGCTCTGCAGTCAAATTTGTGGTGAACACCCCAGCAATTAGCCTTGGACAGTTCTCTAGGTGTGCTAATTGGCATTACCCTGAATGCTAGAGCTGGGAAAGGATGGCAGGCCAGCACAGAAACCCAGGGAAAATAGTCTCACTGTTACCCTACGTAGGAGTTTAAAATATGAGACCTTTGGCAATCTTTCATTAAAATAATCATTTAGATCAGAGTTTCCAACAGCTACAAAGTACCCATGAGCAGCAATTAAATGATGTTCCATTAAAAACATTAAATATTCCATTCAAGATAATCTGATTGACAGAAATTAGTACTTATGTTCCCCAGCCAGTTTTCCCACTTGGGATCTCATGGAATAAGTTACAATTCTGTGTTGGAGATTTAGATCAGAGAGCAGCTCTGTGGCTTCTTGGATGGGAGCCTGACTTTGGGCTTTCAGGGGACATGGTACTAATATAATATTTATAGGGCTCGGAAAGTCGGCTGAACAATAAGGGAAAGGCACTCCGGAGCAGAGCCGGATGGTTATTGAGCTGGTGTGTTCCTTTGCCTCTCTGGATGCCCAAGGGACATTGGAATAACCGGAGCATGGCAGGGCACGAGCATTGCAGAGGGGCAGCAGGAGCTGTGCTAGCACCTTCCTTTATCAACTATTGCTTTTAAAGGCTGACAGGATTAATCCTTTTACTGGGAGTAGCTGGAGCTGATGGGGCTGAGCTCGGGAGGCGAATGGGTGCTGGGGGGGAGCCGTCCTTGCCATCCCGGGGCCATTGCAGCTGTGGCATGTGCAGATGTCAGAGGCTTCCCTTGCTCTCAGCAAGCTTCATACTGCGTCAGAGAGATTATCTGT